GCCCAAAAAGAAGAAGAAGAAGGAAAAAAGCCCCGTCAGTCAGGGTGGAGATGGGGTTGCTGTGATGAATTGATTGGATAATTTCGACCATACGGGAGCATTCAGTTGTGATTAAAGTAACAAAATGGCATTTGTCAAAGGTTACTGTGGCTAATGCGTGCAGAAAGCACAAGGCTGCCTTTGTCGCCGACTTGTTTTGCTGAATAAAATGCTGGGTCAGGTTTGTTCATTAGTCCATAAGTACAAAATGAGACAGTAATGGTTGAGAGCCATTTGTCCTACATATTCCTTTGTTTTCTACACCAAACAGTAGAGTTTCATAGGCTCCTTTACTGAGGTCAGCAGGAACAGAGCTGCTTTGTTTGCCAATTAGTTTGACGTGTGAAGCAGGACAGTGTGGAATTAATCGCGTTTACTTATTAGCACAGCATATAGCCTACTGTATGAGAACAGGATGGATCACCAACCTGAAAAGTTTCTGTACTACAGCTAACATCACCACTACCTTTTACCCCTTTCAATGCTTCTACTGTTGCTCTGACCACTACTGCCGCTAACCCTTTCAAAGCTTAAAGGAGCTCTTTGTAAGTTTTGTTATTGCTACATAGCTAACGTTAGCATTAACAGCTGGCAGTCTTACCGAGCTTCAGCCACTGTTGCGTTTACAAGACAAGAGGTTATAATACGTCCTCTGAGCATCGCTACGTCTTCAGGGCAGACTGGACAGTATCGGAAAGTGATGAGACAGGGCAACCGGGCCAGCCCTGGTTAGTTAGCATGCTAACTAGAAGAAAAAGAAGTGATAGAAATAGAGGCAAAACAAGAGGGTTGCTTAAAGTAAGGGGATTAAGCTTGGTGTTAAACTCGCATAAACTCTGAACTGATAAGGTTCAATGAAGGTCCCATAACTTTATCAAAGTAGTCATTTTAACCCAAACCACAATCTTTCCCTAACCCTAAAAAAGTCTTGTTAGTTCCTAAATCTAACCAAACCTTAACTATCACTTTGTCACATTATAAAACTGATAAATAATGTCTTCGACATCAGCAAATACCTATGACAATGGTAAATGAATGTTTTGCTGTTTTATCTAGACTTGTTGTGTGTCTGCTTTGATTGATGCCTTAATTATTCCATTAGAAATATCCAGTGAGTCTATTAGTACTCTAATGTAGAGGTTAAATGCTAACAGCATAACAGTTTTAAATGACAAGATGTTCAAATGGTTGTTCAGACTTCCTCAGAAACATGTTTCAGCTTAATACAGTCTATAATAAAATGTCCAGAGTGGGAAGCCAGTGGTAGAGAGACTAACAAAGGGAATAAGAGACTTTGACTCTCAAGGGTCAAAGATCAGAAGACCCAGCAACAATAGAGGGAACAAATGTTACCATAATCATCAAATATATATCATGTTAAACATATAAAACAGGTTTTCTTCGTTTTTTTTTCTCCAAAGCTAACATGCTCTTAACTGCGCTGTCTCACAGCTTGGACAACACGGTCGCTAGCGGAGCCGAGCCAGGACCCATTAGCTCCCGCCAAAACTCCCACTGAGGAATACCAGCCTCTAAAACGAGCGTCAAACCAAACAAACCCAAACTCTAATCATCCTCCCTCTCACTTGGCAAACGTGTTGCTCTTGGCTGCCAGACAAGGAGCTCCGTTCAAGCACCGTCCAGGTTCCAACAACCTGGACTCTAGGAGACTGAGAATCTCTCTGCTTGTTTGGGTTTTAACCACCTGTGCTTTTCATCGCCTGTTCGACACTGGGGTCGAGGAAACAAGCTGTGCTCCAACAAAACTTTAAACCCTTCAAAAACATGGTAAAAGTTTACGCAAAGAAACACTTTTTTGATTTGTTTTGTCTGATTAAATGAAATTTACTTTACAAGAACAGAGCTAAATTTATGCAAAGGTTCTCTTTCTATGTACCTCTGCGCCTTTAAACACCTGGAAACTATTTAGAAATAAACCAGCTGCATAAATACTCTGTTAATTCAGTGTAATTTTGTAAGAATGAATCTGTTTTGGGAAGAAAAGTGTAACTTGCACAACGTGATCTGAGCGAAACAAGTATAAAATCCCTTCAACTGTAACAGTTAAGATCAGGCAACAGCTTCTGAACCCTCGTTTTTAGCTCAAGCTGAGAGAAATGTGATTCCCCGTGTGGTAAAGAATAGCAGCATCTAAAATGACTATTGGCATAGCTCAAGGCTCAACCGCAACAAGAGCTCAAAATAGAGATGTGCTTTTATTCTATTTTTTTATGTGTACGGAAAAACAACTTTTTCTTTTTCAGTCAGGACTAAGGCAAAAGAAGATGCTTAAGGCCCATTTCAAAGAGCCAAAGACCTCAGCCAGGTCTGGAAACATTTCCTCTAACATGGCAATGACCCTGAGCATAAATCTGTCAGGTACTAATAACAAGAGTTTGAAAGTCCTTGAGTTCAGACTCTGAATCCCACTGAATGACAACTTGCAGAAAGCCGTTTACAGACATCTAATTAGAAATGTTGAACATACGCACTGGCCACGTCACGTAGCATTGCATCAACTGACAGTTGTCAGGGTAACAGCACAGATCTGATCTGGAGATCAACCTGGGAAGCAATCATGATGCAATTTTATACCTTTTTAGGTTAGTTCAGATTATTTGTACCTGTAGGTAACTTTGGTTTGCAGTAAAATGAGTCATCAGTCTGACACATGCACATTTAACACACATCACGGACAACACATGTGCACAAGGTTTCCAAACCATGATGCCAGTGAAAAAGATGAAATCAACTAAACAAAAGCTCGGTAGAATAAGATCATCATGGTCTTCTCAGTATAGAAATAGGACAGTTTCCTCAGACACAGCAAATGCTGATGCCCCTTCTTACACACAGCTTCACAATTTGCCTCAAAGTTCAGTTTTGTGTCAATAATTGTCCCAAGGTGTTTGTAGGATTGTACACACCCCACTGTCTGACCTTCAGTGGATGTGACTTCATGTGTGTTGGCCCGTCTCCTGAAATCAATTACAATATCTTTTGTCTTAGATACGTTCAGCTGAAGGTAGGACCTCTCACACCACTTGACAAAGTCATCTATGACCGGCTTGTAGCTCAGTCATCTGCATACTTTAGGACGGTGCTGTTTTCATACTTGCTCTGACATATTTGTGTAGAGGATAAATAAAAGTGGTGAAAGCATGCATCCTTGTGGGAAGCCGGTTGAGGAGTTTTTTAGCTCCAAGCCAAAGCTTTGCAGATTTGTCTATCAGTTGTTAATAAAAAAACATGACGAAATAATAACGCAGGGCGTCGAGTAGCTCAGTTGGTTGAGTATCCGCCCCATGTGCAGAGACTAAGGTCCTCGCTACAGTTGGCCCCAGTTCGAGTCCTGCATCGGACAGCCCTTTGCTGCATGTCATTCCCCCCCCTCTCTCTGCCTCCCCATTTCCTGTCTCTCTCTACTGCACTGTCAATAAAGGCATAAAAGGCCCAAAAAAAAAAAAAGAAAAAAAAAGAAATAATAACGCCTACAACTATACTTTTATATTACTGTCTCTACTGCTATTGATTCAGTACTGTTGAAGTAGTTTTTCCTAAATATGTTTAGGGGAATTCAAATACAGTGAAGGATTTTCACGGTTAGTTTGAGCAAATCTGCAGATTAGAGATGGAGATGATACAAATCTCCAGAAACAGACACATTGAAGAAAAGTGGAATCAACATTTCTGTGTAGAATAGACAAAAAAAAAATCTGTTCAATCTCAAACTCAAAAGAAAGCCGTCAGACAGGTTCGTATTTTGTAGAACCACTTATAATAATAAGCTGCTGCATCTGTACATGTCTCCAGTGTGATGCGATGTGTGCTTAACTGCAGTTAAACACACCTTTCACTCATTTCACACATTTGTTTCACACCAGCTGTTTGTAATAAATCAGAGGCAGTAAGCCAAACTTGTTTTGACAGGATGTGCATGGGGAACATCACTGTAATCACTGAATACCCCCAGTCTCTGACAGAAACACTTATATTCAGTATAGAAGCTCTGAATGTTCAGTTCTGTCTCTTCCTTCCATCTGTCTGCGTCTAGACGGTTATCTGTGCTGTTATGTAATGATTGAGCAACTTCATCCCTTCATGGGAGATTCCTGCTCTCAAAAAGAAGGCAGCGTACCTTGACAGGCCGGGTTGGGAACGTGAACGCTGATACTGCAGATAGAGATGAGTTTCTTCTGGGTTCTGACGTCACAGACTCTTCACCTCACATGCCTCAGATCTGATGATTTTCCATCAGTATGAATTTACAGCGCTGATCTGGACGTCAAGGATTTATGATGCGAAACCAGATCAAGGGGCGAATAAGCTACATGTCAGAATAAGTCGACCTGCATGAATTTGCCTTGAGGTCAATCGAGAGAAAGTTAATCACCCATTTCCTCCCAGTTTGTGCCAATTTTCTCTCCCTTTCTTTTTAAAACGTCAACATAAATCTAAAAAAAAAATCTCTATATCATTATGGACAAAACTTAATCTGTACATCTCATACAACGCAACAGCATTTTTGTATAAACACTTCTAATGTACACTTAAAGTACATTAAAGGTCCCATATTCCATGTTCCACTGACCTGTTGTTACTAGAGCTCCAGAGAGAAGCCTGAGAGAGGAGATGTAAAACTACATTGAGATGGTTTTTGGTTCTTAAAACCACAAATATATCTTCTTATGGATCAACACTTCAAAATAAAACAAGAAAAGTGTAAAATATGGGACCTATAAGTTGTAGATTTTACTCATACTTGTTCTATTTCAACATATTACTTCTGTATTTCATGTTTTATCTATTTATTGCTTTAATATGTTCTCTTTTCCTCTTGTTTTGTATCTACTGTTGTTCAGCGAGTCTCTCTGCAGGGTATGTGTGTCCAGATTTAACCATCATTCAAGAAGAGTCAGTCAGTTCTAAAAATTCTAGTGCAATGCTGTCGAGGCACTCACATAGATGTGTCTCTGCCGGTAACGCAGGAAGAGGTTATGCATGATGGCGCCGTCATGGAGGTCCTCCAGTGTCGCCATGTCCTCCACCCCTCTGATGCTGCTGTGGTGCATGGGCTGCACCTTCTGCCTGGTGAGTGCATTCTGCTTGTAGGTGTACACCTGCAGCAGAACATGGGAGAAATACGGAGATGTGTGAACCATGTCAGATGCAGGAGATACGCAGGATAACAGAGAATCAACAGATCTCGTTTATGCCTTTCTTAAAATTAACCAGAAGCCTGAACTTAATTATTCAGTTTTTAAAAAAGTTTTCCCAAGTTTAAGAGTGATACATTCCCCAAGCAGTGATCACAGGAAACATTTAAGCCTACACAAGAGTAGTTTCTTCAAGCTGCCACTTCTCCACCACAGGTTTTACATCGTTATAGTTACATTCAGCTTTCTGTCCCTTTTGACTTGTTTATGACCGAGTGAGCCGCTCCAGAACAGAAAAAGCCAGGACCACCACCAGACAGTTTTTCAAAAATGTAAAACAGAGCTAAAACCTCCAGAAGTCCTGAGGCACTACAAAGACTGTAAACTCCCAGGATTCATTTCACGTGGTTACTTCACTGAAACTCTTATAAGAGATGAACTGCAACGAGTAAAAACATCTATTCACATAGATCACACAGCAAACAATAAAAAAACATTTGCACCACATATTTTCATGTCACAGTAATGAAGATGATGCATAATATTGAAAACAGCTGGGGAATAAATCTCGACCCTAGACAGAAGAAACTGCAGAGTGCTCACGTGCTGCTAACATGCTAAACATGCTAACATCCCCTCTGTGTGTGACTGGTTCACTCCCCTCAGGCAGCGAACGTCCTGACTGACAGATTTTTATCTCATGTTACTGGAGGAGGCTGATGTGTGGAAGAACGCCTGCAGGCGGGAACTGAAAGAGAACATGAACCAGGAAGGTTGGCTGAGTAGTGAGGGTCAAAAATCAGAGTGATAAAAAGAAATCAACTAGAGAGACAAGCAATGACACAGCATCTAAACTTTGAGTGACATGCACTGTAGTGTCCAAAGTAACAGGACTGATGTGAAGACGTTCTTTAGTTTTCAGATCATTTAAAGAGGGAAAGAAGGAATAAAGAAGGAAGATGATGAAAGCAATAAGAAAAGCAGCAGAGATAAAGGAGGAAGTGAGAAGAAAAAAAGTATCCAAAGAAAGAAAGGATGGTAGGATGGGAAAAATGAAACAAGCTACAAGTTAGTTTAATTTAATGTCTAAAAGTCGTTGAGCAGAAACAGATTTTCCCGTGTTTTATAGATTTCAGATTTTAGACCAACAACAGTCTCACTTCATTACGTATGTCTGCAGCTGACTGTAACTGTGACTGTGTTTCTCAATCTCAATGAGACTACATGACTCCAGCCAGCAGATAAATGTGGCTATGGAGTCTTTCCCTCTCAAATGAGCTGGAGGAGCTTCAGGTAGAAGGTGACATACCAGAGTCTCCGCACAGCTCCAGAGTCAAACCCGAGGGCTTGATCCTCCGAGACAAGATTCACATGTGGAGAAATTCATCAGATTTCTACACTTACAGGAAGCATGTATATAATACAGGATTCAAGACAATCTGGGCGCTGTGTAGGACCTGACCTGTAAGGTACAGCATGACATGACCTAATACAAATATCACAGACTGATGAGATCGACCAGTGTATAAGGGTCCGAGGATGGAGCGATCTTTAAATAAAGTTATCGCTATAGTTTTGACTTGTCGTTGTCGGGCAGAGTTCAGTCTTGAGAAGCTGTTCAGCCTCGTCCTCAGACACGGATGATAAGCAGCCGTCTGCTGCAACCTTCCTCCAGCTCCTGTTCTCCTTTCTCCAACAGGTCGGGGTAACATTTACCTCCGCTCTCTATTTCAAACTTTAGCAGCCAAACTAACAAGCTAAAGTTTAATATTACCGTTAACGCATCAATCTCCAACCAGCTGTCACCCGGTGAGCCTTGGTTGGGTGCGAGCTACAATTGAGACGTTAATCTGACCAGCCAGAGACGCATTTGTCTACTGTTCCATATCTACAGCCTCGATAAGGTGGAAATTCAAAGATAGCTGAAATATTTTTTTGAAAGAAAAATCGGGCCTCTTAAAAAGCTGTTTTTTTTCCCTGATTTCTTTTGTTTTAAAGTGGAGTTTTTGAGATTTGGAGTTCAAGCCTCTGAAGGTCAGAGATGGGGAGTTCAAACTGTTAGTCTAAACATTTCACACAAGTCACAACTAGTTTATCTCATGAAATGTGTCTAATGTTCATAGCAACATAAAACACCAGAGATACTCAGAGTGCTAAGATGTGTTAACACTGCAGTTATGAATGTTATTTAGGTCTTCAGATTCCAGGCATATCAGGTCTAATGATTCAGTCATACAGATGATAGAGTTAGAGTTAGGCTATCTTACATTTTGATGATCTCCATACTTAAAGACGTACACATTCATATTTCAAACTTTCACTATTGTCATGACTTTTAAAAAAAAAAAAGTATTTAACGCCTCAGTTTCATTTAAAGTGAACAGAGGAGATTTGAAAAAGAAAAAGATGCCACTCGGTTCGAAGAACAGCCACAGCAGTGTGTGACGAGCCACAAATATGGAATCGAAATATACAAGAATCTTTAAAGTGTAACCTCTTTAACACTTGGACAAGCTGACTTGCTTCTTCCAGCAAATTCTACCTCAAAGACCACAGGACGGTCCAGTCGTGAAAAGGAAGAGTCGGCGAGGTTAATTAAGAGCAGATCTCAAATCATCATCGCTCTGCAGGACGTCTGCAGGAAGACACAGAGAGACCTCTGAGGTGGGGGTGGGGTGGGGGGGGGTCCGTTACTTCATCACAGAGGTTCAACGGAGGAAAATGAAATTTCTCAACAGAAAGATCAACCTTTTCTTGTCTGAGGTGACAGTGGAGATTAAAGCTGTCCTCACTGTCTGACTACTGTACCTACTGTAGTTCTTCTACGTGGTATGACCCCCATCAGACTCCAACCACACTGGCTCCTGGCTGGAAAGAGGAGAGCAGCCAAACCTGGTGCTGTCTCAGCTCCTTTTTCCACAAACACAGACTCTACAAAGAACATCCAGTAACACACACACACACACACACACAAACAGGTCCTGGAGATTTCTAAAGGTTCTAACCACCTGGTTTCAACCCTTTAAGAAGAACAATGTCTTCCTGTAACAGTGAAAATGAATGGAAGACACATTTCTCTCGCTCTCAGGTTTAATATTTCAACACTGCTGCTGGTGATGATGTGTTTTGACCCATTTCTTCCTCTGTGACTGAGAATCTGGTTCACACATTAACTATTGTGATTCTGACCAAGAATGAAAATAAAACTGTAAATGTCTCACAGTGCGACCACACTCTGAATGCCGGGGTTGGTCTGTCACCCGCTGTGACTGAGAAGCTCAGGGTGACTACTCCTGAAGAAAGCCAGGCTCTGTCTGAGGAGTCAATCACATCTGAACCCCCCCACACCTCCCCCCTCCACACATAACACATATTAACACAGAAGACCCCCCCCCCAGCATCCTGTCAGGCCTCATTTCTCACATTCCTGCCTCTGTGATGCTTCAGGGGAAACTGAACGTCACAGAAATGTCTTCAAGATGAGTTTTTTTTCTATGAGACATCGATAGTGCTGCCTTCACAACTGGTGTGTTCTGGCGGGTTTATTACTCCTGCAGCCTGTCCAGGTGATGAAAACCAAAATACCAGAGACTCCTAAGAATAAAATTGAAGCTGAAGTAAGCAGAAAATGAAGTTAATGGCTCCTTGGTTGTCACAACATTAGTGTTTTCACAGAAATGATCAGTTTTACAGACTTTTCACCAACAGGGAGACGGTTACAGGGAGAGAACTGACTTGTCAGACCAGTGCAGTGTAAACACGGTTCACAGTCAACAGTCAGACATGTCCTGAAGTCCTGGAACAGCACAGTTAGTTACTGTAAACACACCTTCACCTGGCTGGATGACCTCACCTGTCAACCTGCGGTACATGAAGCACATGGACTTCAAGTTGAAAAAAACCTCTAAATTGATTCTGTAATTCAATAAATTCCCAGAGGAAAAATGTATATACGCTAATTAGCATTTGCAAGTACATTTTGATAGAAAAGCAATATTTGCTCTGAGTAACTAAAGAACAATTAAGGATTATGGGTTATACTATTGGCTGTATAGTTTGATGAGAGGATTGATAACACTCTCATGTCTGTATACTAAATAGCTACTTTCCAAATCTGCGGTCTTTGGAGGACTTGCTCTACGAAGGCGTGACAGTTAAGGCAGAACCACTATGAGACAGTCTGGTCTATGGAGAATTTCCCCTTTAACCTTGGCTGCTGTTTTATTTGCAGAATCCACTTTATTCTCTTTTTGAAAAGTGATATATCACTTGTGCATAATGAATCCTAGGATAGGTTGGGTCAACTGATGGATCTGTTGTCACCCAGGAAATACAGGGTAGGCCTACATTTGTGACAGCCTTGTCGCGCTGCAATCTGTCTTAAAATGCAGCCTTCAAAGGTTGAGGTCCCTGAATTGACACACAGCTCATGTGAGGCTACAGCTAGCAGAAGGTTAGCTTAGTATAAAGACCTCGAAGCGGGGGATACAGCAACAACATGATTCTGTCCAAAGGTACCAAAACCTGCCTACCAGCACCTCTACAGCTCACTAGTTAACCTGAGACTCATTTTTCGACTGAAACAAAAACAGACATGTTACAATTAAAAATGTGTTGCATTAGGGAAAGTAACATGATGGATATTTGACTGGGAGCAGTGAGTATTTACCCAAAACTACTTCATTTTATTTCCCCAAGTGGTTTAGTTGCCGAAACCTAACACATGAGATACAAGACTAGAACCCCAGTCTGTGACGTCAACCACCCACCCCAGTGTCTGATGTTGGTCCAGTTGGTCCAGTTGATCCCAAAGGTGTTGGATGGGGTTAAGGGTCAGGGCTCTGTGCAGGTCAGTCAAGGTCTTCCACACTGAACTGGGCAAAGCTTTTCTTGATGGACCTGGCTTTGTGCGGGGGTCTCCCTCTCTCTTCTGGTCATGGACAGTACTCAGCCTTCACTGCAGA